TCTCCCCTGGCCTACGCCATTGTCCTCCTCCTCATGCCCCCACTCAATCTGACTTTAGGGGACTTCATCGGTACCACCTTCATCTAAGGTAAGGATCAAACGATCCTTGGCCCTGATTTGGCCAGAGATGGTACGACCCTTCCACTTTTTACCCTTATCTAAATCCTTGTGCTTGAAAGTGGACACTGGCATGGACTTGGCCTTGAACAAGACCACTTCCTTACTCAACGCATCATACGTGATGTTCCCCTGTTGGGTCTTGTCAAGGAAATGCCCTCGCAAGGGCTCTGGCATGGCACGATAGAACAACTGCACCAACTGGGTGTCAATGACCCCATGGTCCGGGACGGCTACCAAGTCGTCCATGACAGATTTGAGTGCTCGCGCACTCCTCCACTGTCGCGAGTGGATGGTCTGTAATTTATCAGAGGCCTTGACGCCTCTTGTGACATCAGCAAACCTCTCTTGCAGGAGTTTGAAGAAAGTGGAGAGAGGGGTCAGTCTAGAATATGCAACCATATTGTTTTCACAATCGGCTGCGCGCGCGAGGGACCTGGCAAAACTAATCGCTTCATCCTTTAATGCATGGAAGGCCACGAGGACCTATTCCTCGGGGGCGATATGCTGCAGATACACGTATGTGTTGGTACTGGTCTCCCAGTTATCAAAACTATCGTCCTTTTTCCCGCTACAAGAATCAGGGAATTTGAGCTTTACAGGCTCCCTGCGGGGACGCGGCGCGGCCTCAGTTGTGGCCACCACCTTGGCGCTTTCAATGGCGCCAGCACATAACTTCTTCGCACCTTCCTTCAGTCTCTTCACCTCGGTCCCGACGTGGGTCACCACGTCACGCGCAAACTTTCTAAACCCGGTCCGGATGGCATGCAGGGTCACATCTTGACCCTTGTTGGCTTGATGCTCCTCAAGCAAGGCCTCACTCAAAACCTCCAGGTACCCCAAAATCTTATCTAATTTCGCGGGGGTCTCTGCTTATGCCTGCACCTCTTGTCTGCAAGCCTGGACTTTCTCCACTTCTCTCGCCACTCGGTTAGCTTCCTCCCTCTTTCTCTTCTTCTCCCTCATCATACGCAATTTCCACTCCAACTTCTTTTCATTCTTTGTTGTCTGACGTTCCAGGGGGTCCTCCATCACTTCCAATTCCCTGGCGAATGCTTCTCTTTCCTCCTGGGGCACATACAGTAGTGCCTCCTCATCTTCTCCCAATGATAAGTTAGCCACCCACTCGCTAATTTTTTTCTCCATCCAGGCGTCCTCTCCCTTCGTGCCACTTGTCTCTCCTCTGTTTTCCCACGCCTCCTTTCAAGAGGTTCTTCTTCTACCTCCTCCTCCTCTTCTGGTGCTGCTTCTTCGATAGCTTTCCTCTTCTCTTCCTCCTCCTGCTGTAGCATCATCATCTTCTCCTTCTGTAATCTTATCATCTCTTCTTTTAACTTCTTCTTCTTCGCCGCCTGCTCCTCTGCGATTGCTTTTAACTTAGCCTGCTTGAGGAACTCTTTCTTCTCTTTTCTCTCTCTCGGGATAGCGGCAATCCGGGCCTGTTCGGCCTCGGACTGGGCGGCAGTACTCTTTTCACTACGGGTGTCAACCATGGTGTCTGGTGCACAACCGAACAACGGTTCCACTCCTCACCACTTAGACTCTACTCCCCCTGACTGACAAACCTACAGACTCGATCTAAGGACTTACAGAATCCGGACAGGATCCTGTCAACTAGGGTCTCTAGCCTAGACCTACTCTAAGGCTGTCACTACAAGACCTGTTGCTGATCAGGAGACATTTAAGGAGATCCCCCGTAACTCCTCAATAATTATGTAACGTCGCAGACAGGACGACGCAATCAGCAGGTCCTCTCAAGACTTAGACGGCCTGTTGTGCAGCCCAGAGCTCGGATTTTGGGCCTACCGTGCCACACCGAGCAGCCCGCCGGTCAGTACCGGTCCTTGGGAGGGTTCGTGTCCTCCGGGACAGTCGAATCGTCAGACACAGTCTTTAGCCCTACTCAGCCCGTGTGGGTTTGGTCAATAGAGCCCTATCCTTCATCCACAGAGTTCCTATCACCTGGACATAAGAGACTCAATGCAAAAAGAAGAGACAGACAAACTTGACTCAGCAAGTACCAGAGGGTGTGTGCACATCCATAGGGCGAGGGGATAGGCTGAAGGCTTGGCAAGATTATATCGGCTCCAGCTTGGTCAAAGTCGTGGTCAACGATCTTGGTCAACGCCTTGGTCAACGTTGCGGTCAACCCCCGGTCACCTCCGATCAACGCCCGGTCAACGCCCGGTCAACTCCCGGTCAACGCCCGGTCAACCCCCGGTCAACTCCTCCAGTCAGCTCCTGCTATGGCGGCCGGCTCCTCCTTCGTCGCCACCCTTCTCCTTCCTTCTCTCTACCTCGCCTCTTTCTTCTTCACCCCGTCTGTCTTCTCTTTTTTTTTTTTTTTTTTTTTTTGTTCGTCTCTCCCTTCACCTCCTCGGCTATGGCTTCCTTCACTCGCTCCGTTCTCTCCCTTCGTCCTCCCTTTCACCTCCTTCGTTACTCTGTGGTCGAGCTCCGCGGCTATGGTCGCCTCTTCACTTTGTGGGACTGCACGGCACACTTCACAGGTACGTGACAACCAAACTTGTATCGCTCATCTGTCTCTCTCTCTCTCTCTCTCTCTCTCTCTCTCTCTCTCTCTCTCTCTCTCTCTCTC